ATAATGTAGAATTGTAGTGAAAATAAAACAAAATTTATAAAAAAAGAATAACTTAAAATTTTAAAAAACATTTTTTAAGTTAAAATTAATTTTGATATGATATTAATAAATATTTTATAACTATTTAATGCAAATATTCGAATACTATTTATTATTTTGAATTTTTGCATTAGTTTAATAAAATATATTTATGATATAAATGTATTAAATGTAAATACATCTAAATAAATATTTATAAATAATATAATATTTTTTTATTTAAATAATAGGACAAACATATGAATGTCAATCTGAATCAATTATTGACTAAATAAATGCTTATTATTTAAGTAAAACATTTATTATTATGAATTTTATTGAAAACATTTTTAAATAGATTGTATATTATTATTTGTTAAAATGTCAAAATATAATATAAAAAATTAATAAAACTCTATATATAATAATTATGTAGTGTAAAAATATTGTAAATTTGTATATATATATACAGTAGAAGGATTTCACATATAGGTGCGAACTTTTTATCTGCATATTGTATTAAAAGTAAAGCTAACACAGAAAAAAAATTTGGAGACTAATGATATGGACACATGACTAAATCACATGACTAATATTTAATAAGATAAAAGTATATCATATTAGGTTTCTATTAAAATAATATACTTATTAATGTATCTAGAATAAGTTATAAAACAACAAGTTATATATACACCAATAGTAATTAATTATTCAAGCAATTAAAAAAAATTAACAATAAATATCGTCATTAAAATTTTTATAGTCATACAAATTTTTTTTAGTGTAACTTATTAATAAAAGTAAATTATCCAAACTATCTAAAGAATTATAGGACAATCCGTTCTCTGTATATATATATATATATATAATTAATATATTTATAAAAATTAATTATTGCTTTTTATGATTATTATTATCATTTTATTTATAATTATTTGTTGTATTTTTTTAGTATTGATTGAAATGAAATCTTTTAATAAGTTTTTTTTAACAATAAGTTTTTTATTAACACTATTTATTAGTGACTCGTAAACTAATATATTATTAGTAATAACTAATAATTATCTATTTTTTGTACGTATTCTCTCTCTCTCTCTCTCTCTCTCTCTATCTATCTATCTATCTATCTATCTATCTATCACAGTGTCATACGTCAGGTGTGGGAAGTCCTAAATATATGGCACCCGAAGTCATAAGTGGTCGCAAATATGACACCAAAGCTGATGTCTATAGTATTAGTGTTATTATTGAAGAGTTGTTCGATACGGATGTCAATGAGTTTGTATTAAAATTATATTTTAGTTACTTTTTATAAATATATTTCAATACTTTTCTGTTTAGTTCACGCGATAAATATATATCATATGAATGGAGTGACAAATATTGTAATTTATTGAATGTTATTAAACATACGATGCAACCGGTCTATGATGACAGACCTACATGTGCTCAGATCATTCAACAGTACAATGAATGGCATATAACAAAGTTTTACAAATTATGACAAATCAAAAGAAATAAAACTGAGTATAAAAACATGGATTCAGAGCCAGAATTGTATAATAAATAATATAATAACATAATCTAAGAAACAAATAAAATAAAAAAACATTAATAACTATTAAAAACATATGATTTGATTTTATTGATAATTTTATATCTTCTATGATATATCTCCGATCTGTCCATCATTTTTGATAAATGCGATGAATAGAGACACCGAAGTGTAGGCAATAGTATTGGCAATCGATTCAATTGATTTAACGATACTCTCATAAAATCATAGGCAATACCAAGTCGTCCATTATTGTCGTCGAACACATTGTCGGGAATTAACGGCATTTTACCGAAACGGGCGCTAAAATGTGTCAAAATAGTAAACTTTGCAGACATTCTTCGACCGACATCGATGGCCTCCGATACGGTTGAGTGACACTGTTTTCTGGCCAACAGTGCCAACGAGTCGTCCTGAGTGGCTTCGTGTATGAGTAGATCACATCCCTGTCCTCTGTCGATAAGCTGATCGGTTGGTTCGGCGTCACCGGAATAGACAATTCGTTTATTGCCATCAATGGTCTCTAGTAGGACACCAAACGAATCCAAACAGTGAACAACTGGAATCGCTTCCAATCGATTGAGTCTTAAATCAGACAAAACACTTGTAATATCTTTGTCGCAGAGTTCAGTTGTCGCGTAACAAACATATTGATGGCTAATATCTTCAAACTCTCGATTATATTGATTTAGCCAATCGTTAACCATCGGCGGTATAAATATAGTCAACGGTTTGTTTGTATATTTATACGAGTCTTTGATTAGTTGAATGAGTCCCATGTGATGGTCAGTATGAATATGACTAACAAATATGGCTTTTAATTTCTGGTAAAAATAATTGTTAATATAATTTGAACCATAGAAGCGATACAACTGACCGCTAGTGTCTTCACCGCAATCTAGAAGTATTGACGACTCATCGGTAATATTGACTAAAATTGCAGAAACATTACGATTAAGCAACGGTTGTGCAGAACTTGTTCCCAAAAATACTATTTCTGGATATTGTTTATCTTCGGAAACATTATTATTATTTGATTGACTTTCAAGTAGTTGTTGTTTGGCTTTTAAATCCGATATACTTTCGGCTAAACCTTGTCTTTCATTTTTCAGATGATCTAACAGTGCGTCTTCGCGTATAAACTTCATACTGACTAACTCGAGTCCATCAAAACTGACGCCTCTTTGTCCGAGAGGTCGGAACACATATTGTAGTCCTGTTTGACAGGAAATCAGGTTTTCGTTAATATTATTATTATATAAATTAATTACACTTTTATTGTAATCAATATTTTCTTTAATTAAGGGAAAAATTTTCTCATCCAATGAATTCAATTGCGATTGAGTTCTGTGTAATGAAATTAAACCAAAACTTGGATTCATTTCGTTTAGTATCAGATGTTTGGTTTCGGATCTAAACAGTGATATCAATGACTGATATTCATGTGATTTCATTAAAAAATCAGTAGTCATATGAACAACACATTCAATTGTTTGGATATTTTCATTTAAATTCAATAAAAACTTGTCGTTCAATAAAATACTATTCAATACTTCCAGTGATTGACACTCAAGAATCACAAACGATTGTTCCGGCACTTCGGCTGTCATCACATCAGATGGTCGGACAGTCAAACCGTTGTCCAATTCGAGAGTTTCGCCTGATTTGAGTTTCGATAATAAATTTCTGGGGATTTTCATATGAAAACACTTGTCCAGCAATAGTTGTCCCGCTTTTCGGTTGACTTTACAAAAGTAGACAACTGTGCGATCAGTCTTAGTGTCGCCGGTGTTGACCACTATTGGCCTAATTTCGACATAACTATCGGTAAATATCGTGTCTATTATCGGATCCGATTGATAGTAGTCGACAGCCGATAGCTGACAGTTGTCTAATTTGACGTCAAAATAACGGATCAAATCCAACAGTTTTTGGCTGTCATTGGTATGAATTGTGAATCTCTTGATTCCGGAGTCTATTTGTGTCAATAGTAGACCAGAAATACCGGATATGTTGTGCCAGGAATTGCTTGTGAGGAATAGGTTCTCACATTTGACGGCTTTTATACTATTGAAGAGATAATAATACAAGACATTAATCAATGGATCAGCTCTTAAGCAGCAATTAAAATATAAATACCGGTATTGAGGAAGAAATCGTTGCAATCCTTGGCCACAATTAAACAGATAGAGTCGGTCATCACTGGCCAGACATACTGAACAGGGATTACCAGCGGATCCGTTGCCCAACACATGCAGTGCCGATACCGCCGATGTAGTGGTTGAGGTGTTGTTGTTATCACCCGATTTGGTCCATAATTGTCGGTAATTGACTGCAGTCTTCAGCTTCAGTCCTCTTAATAGACAATAATAATTGATTTTCATTTAAGATTTTAGTCAATAGTTTTCATTACATTTATTGAACACATATTTTATGACAACATTTGCATTAATAATAAATGTTTTATTTATTTATTTATTAATTATTTTTTGTTAATTTAATTATAATAACAATAAAAAACATAAAATTCTATTGAATTCCAAAATTTAAATGTTTTATATAAAAAAAAACTTATGTTTTGAATGAATTGAATAAAATCTAAATGTTTTCACAGTATGTTTGGGTATAAACTGCTGACATCTCTGATATCTAAAAAAATTATTTATTGTAAAAATGATTATATAATGTATTTTTAATGATAATTACTGTACAGTAAATTAAATTTATACATCTATTAGTTATAATTAAATTAAATTACTTATAAAACTTATAAATATTACAGATAAATAATAATATAATTTTAATAAAATTTATTACTAAAAAAAATTAACTAATTAATTATTATTATTATTATTTATATTACATTTATATATATTATTGTAATAGTTTTTAATATATTAATTATTGTTTTCTTAAAAATAGTATAAATAAATTTATAAAATTATTTAATATATATATATATAAATTAATTTTAATATAACAATTATTTTTTAGATTTATCAATTTATTATAGTGCAATAATAATAATAAATTGAATGTATTTCATTATATCATAAATAATATCAAATATATTATTAATAATAAGTGATAACAACTATTAACTTATGGTTACACTGATTAGTACAACAATGGTATTAATATTTTAGATTAAATATACAGTATATATGAAACAATGAAAATATAATAAATTATTTTTACAATTAAATACTAACCACAAAATATATTTATAATTTAATACTTTTTTTAAAATTATAGTTTTTTAAATTCTATAGTATTTAATATTAAAATTATTAATTGTAGTTAAAATGGATAATAAATCAACAAAATTAATAAACAATGAAATAAATGATATAAATATAAAAACACAAGAATTATCACTAAATGATTGGATCGAAAAGATTGATAAGTTTTATGTGTTTGACGACGAATTTGGGGTTAATATGATGTTTGTTACCAAAGATGATGATCGGGTCTATGGATTGGGTGCTAATGTCAACGGATCACTGGGTTTGGGACACAACCAGTGGGTGAGTGAACCACAAGAGATCATAGAGTTGTCGCATAAAAAGTGTATTAAATTTATAAACGGAAGAGAATTTATTGTTTGTTTTTCGAGTAATAGTTTTGTCTATAGTTGTGGTAAAGATAGAAATGGACAGTTAGGTCAGGGAAGTGATAGCAATAAATATAAGAAACCAATGATTATACAAATCAATGACAACAATGATTTGATAAGTGATGTGAGTTGTGGTTCATATCACACATTAGTTTTAACGCATAAGAATGAAGTGTATGGTTGGGGTTGTAATGATTTCGGACAAATCGGTAGCCGAGACACCACTTGTGAATCAATTACTAAACCGGAAAAAATAAAATTTAATGAAAATTATTGTATAAAATCTGTTCACTGTTTTGATAACTCATCGTTTGCATTGACAAGTGATGGACAAGTGTTTAGTTGGGGTCGAAATCGTTGCAATCAATTGGGACTTAATTGCAATAATCTAATGATATGTAGACCACAATTGATATGCAATCTATCGGGTATAACATCCATACAATCGGGTGCAGGAAAAACATATTTCAGTAGTGATTATAAAAATAAAGTGTATATTTGTGGTGATTATTACAATGAAAATAATGTGATTGATATACAAATGACACCAAAATTATTGGGTAATTGTAATGAATTTAGTGATATTCAGTCAATTAAATCCTATAAATGGAATGAAAGAACATTTATGTGTTCAATGGATGATATGGTCTATGAATTGATTAAAAACAACAAATATAATACAAAATATAATAATTATTTTGATTATTGTGTCGATAAATATCATATAACATATAAAACATATAACTCGAGTCAATTCACTGACAGTATAATTGAATTTATTGAATATACAATTAAAACAATTAAATCAAATTATAAAAGTTTAGATACTTTGAACTTAGGTTTGTTTTTCATAACATTTTATTAATATTTATAATATTAATTTAGTCTTATTTATATATTTATAGAAACTGTTTATAACTTATATTATAGAAGATATGATGAGTTGCAAACATTGGGTTCGGGAAGCTTTGGATCGGTTTATAAATGCAAACATAAATTGAATAATAATATATTTGCAATTAAAATAATTAAAATACCAGGTATTTATTTTAATACTTTTATATAATTGTACAATTAAATATTTATTTTTATATGTTTTATATAAAAAGAAAAAATAAAATTGTAATAATTTAATATATTTATAAAAATTACGTCTATATTATATTATTATTTTCTTATTATTAATAATTTAATTAAATTATTTCTACTTATTTAATAAAAATATATTATATTTTACATATTATTTAAAATCAAACAGAAAATAGTTTAATAAATGAGATGTTTTTGAAAGAAATTGAAAGATTGACTAAAATAACGGATCAATATTTAGTTAATAACAACACATTTTGGTTATACGATAATTGTATATATATTGAAATGGATTATTGCATAATGAGTCTGAAAGAAGCCATCAAATTGAAAGCAGATGTATTTGACAGACAATCATCAGATGAACCCATGGATTGTATGGAGTATTACATTACGTGTGAAATACTATTAGAAGTGTTAGAATGTGTCCGATATTTGCATGAATTGAATCCACCGGTCATTCATCGCGACCTCAAACCCGACAACATATTGATAGCCAACGACATCCGAAACGGACGGTTCGTTAAGTTATGTGATTTGGGATTAATAACAGTTATCACGAAATGGTAGAACAAAGTCATACGTCAGGTGTGGGAAGTCCTAAATATATGGCACCCGAAGTCATAAGTGGTCGCAAATATGACACCAAAGCTGATGTCTATAGTATTAGTGTTATTATTGAAGAGTTGTTCGATACGAATGTCAATGAGTTTGTATTAAAATTATATTTTAATTACTTTTAATAAAAATATTTAAATACTTTTATGTTTAGTTCACGCGATAAATATATATCATATGAATGGAGTGACAAATATTGTAAACTATTGAATGTTACTAAACATACGATGCAACCGGTCTATGATGACAGACCTACCTGTGCTCAGATCATTCAACTATACAATGAATGGACTATCGATAGCACAGTTGTTACAAATGATGTCGAGTTTAATGAAAAACTCCAACAAATCAAACACAAGGAATGGAAACTCCGTATAGAAAACATGGATTCAGAGCCAGAATTATGGCAATTGTTTTATACATTTGTTTGCATTAAAACTAAATATTTTAATATAACTTTTTAGATACAATATTAATAATTATTATATCTTATTACTTATTATACATTGTATTCAATAAAAATGTATATAAATTAGTAAATATTGTTTAAAACATAAGCTGTATATACTTTTTTGGCTTTTATTTTCAACTATTGTTTTACATAAATATCTGATATTTTTCTTCAATTCACTTAATATTTCATTAATTAAAGATATTTTATTAATAAATACAATTAATAAAAAACTACAAAAAAATAACAATAAGTTTATTAAGTTATAAATCATATATAAGTGAAATATAATTTATATATTATTTTTTTTGCATAACATCGACATCCAATCCTGATGTGCCATAACTGTCCCATAGCTTGGATCGACTCATCCAATTGATGGACTCAACAGTCTGTTTTTGGATGAATCATATGTAAAACAATTGATTACCGATTTTATGCCAATAAAAATGTAACACAAGTTGGCAAATGTGTCGATAGTTTCAATCGGTTTCAACAAACCAGTGGTCAGTACTAACTTTTCGATCACTTTTTTTTCGGTTACACATTTTGAGTAATAGTTATTATATGTGTTGTAAATAATTGATGGACCAACTATTGATATAGTTAAATCCAAATCATTATAAAAACAAATTAGATTAATTATTTATAAAATTTTCAACAAAAAAAAAACTTTGTAAAAGTTTTGTTTTCTGAATTCTATACGAGCCTTTTGTGTGTGTGCGTGTCTGTCTGTCCGTCCGCCTCGGTGGCCGAAAGCCTAAGTTGTCGGCTTGCGAGTACGACAACCCGAGATCGATACCCGTATGGGCCACCTAAGTTTGTTGGATTTTTAACGCGAGGTAACAGATAATATGTGTACTCTGAACTGTCCACATATATAATGCTGTCCTATCGTTAATAGGGGTACTCCTCTAACTACTGCACTCTCGGCAGTTATGAGTGCTATACACAGTATAACCAACAATACTGGAGAGAAAAATAGTTTAAGGGTTCTCAAAACCCCGTGCATGCAATCATTGTAAAAATCCTGGATATTGTCTGTCCGTCCGTCTGTAGCATTTGTTTTTTGCGAATTTTGAAATTCAGATTGACTTCAGATTCGGTTAGAAGACTACTAATAATGTATTGAAAAGTTGCATCAAAAATGTTCCAACTCTTCCGAAACATAGAGAAAATAGCGGTCAAAATAAAAAATTTTAATATTTATAATTATATAGAGCATCAAAAATAAGATATAATAGATCAAAATTATTATTTTATTTTTTCAAAAAAAAATTGCGGCAAAAGTATGATTTTAAGCTGTTTATTTTGTTATACTTTTAATACATTTAATACAACACATGAGTAGTTGTTTATTTTGTCATACTGAATCATTTGATACCCAACATGACTAAAGTTGAGTTTATTTTGTCACACACTGAGTCATTTGACTATATGACTAAAATCAACTGACAATTAATTAGCGAACATAATATATTATGTCGTCAAAGTTTTTTTTTCTAATAATGCTCTCTTAACTGGTTTTATAATGATTTGTTTGGTATAAAGTGCTTAATCATGTAAATTATAACTGAAAAAATTTAATATAATTTAGAAATAGAAATTTAATATATAAATATATTTAACTCTCTCTCTCTCCCTCTCCCTCTCTTTCTCTCTCTTTCTCTCTCTTTCTCTACTCTCTCTTTCTTTCTCTACTCTCTCTTTCTTTCTCTACTCTCTCTCTCTCTCTCTCTCTCTCTCTCTACACACACACGCTCTCCCTCTCTCTTTTTAAAATTAAAAAAATATATATGTAATTATATATATTGTATATATATATATATATATATATTTGTTATATAATATACGACATTAAAGTTTGTTTATCGGCAATGCTTTTTAGGATTCTCAACTGAACTTTCCATATTAAATATTTTATGACGAAATATAATTAATAAATTATTAGTGATTATTAAAAAATATCAATGATTTTAATATAATATAACTTTAAATACTAATAAATAGTTTTCAGTCTATAGCTATCAAACACTGGCAGAGAGTGACAATACATTGACAGACATACTATTATATATTACGAGACCATAAAACTGATCCATAAAAAAGATGACTAAATTAAACAAAAATATTTGTTTAATTGCTATCAAACTGTTTGGTATTATTATTAATAAGCATATTTTAATTTTACCAACTAAACACTTTTATATTAAAAAAAATAAATATATTTTCTATTAATTATTATTTTTTGTTTGTTTGTTTTAATTCAAGTAATTTTAACAACAATTATCAACAGTTTTGTCAATGCAAATGACGATACTATAGATCCACTGGAAGAACAGTCAGATAAAAGTGATGGTCCATATATTTCGGATCCAAAAAATTAATAATAATTAATAATAATTAATAATAATTAATAATAATTAATAATAATTAATAATAATTAATAATAATTAATAATAATTAATAATAATTAATAATAATTAATAATAATTAATAATAATTAATAATAATTAATAATAATTAATAATAGTTAATATTAAGATTACTAATTAATTAATATTTATCCACAAAAATTAAACAGTTACAATACTTGATGTTTTTTTAAAAAAATTCTATTTACCAAATATTATCTATTTATAAAATTTTATTTAATTTTTCAGAAAAATAATTTTTTGTTTAATAAATATACTGAATTAAAATAAATATTTTTTAACCAAATAATTTGTTTATCTTTGAATTTAATATAGATGAATTATACTAATTATAATTTAATTTATATTATATAGTTTATCTCTAAGTCAGTTTAAAAAAGTGAATTAAAAAATTATTTAATTATTAATAATTAATAAAATGGTGTTTCATATTAAGATAATTAATTAAAAATTAAATATTTTTACTAAAAGCATTACAATACAGGTGTTTTTATTTATTAATTTTTTTTCTGGAAAACAAATAATAAATATTTATTTTATATATCATATTTTGTTTAATTTTAATATATATATCTAAATTATAAATTATTATTAAAAGCAATGATAGTTATTATTATTTTGTTTATTAAATGATTTTTATTCTTATTAATTTACTTTAAAACTTATTTTACTAAATAAACTAATTATTGACTAATTAACTAATTAATACAATTGTATTTAATTAAATATTTCTAACAATAATTTTTTGTTTATAAATATACTAAAAAATTTTAACAAATAATTAGTTTAATCATTGAATTTAATATAATTATAATATTAATTATAATTTAATTTATATTATATAGTTTATCTCTAAGTCAGTTTAAAAAAGATAATTAAAAAAATAATTCATTAATTAATTAAATGGTGTTTTATATTATGATAACTAATTAATAAATATTTTTCTAAAACAATACAGATGTTTTTATTTATTAATTTTTTTCTTGAAAACATATAAAATATAATCTATTAAATGCAATTTTATTTATTATTTCTGAAAATAATTTTTAAATAAATAATTCCGTCCGTCCGGTGTCCACTAGGACAAGAATCGAATCGAAGAATCGAATTTTTTTTTAATTTTGTTCTTTTTTTCAGTTAAGGAGATCGTATGGAAATGCTTTTATAGCATTCTCAACTTG